CCTCCCCCCACCTGCTCGGTGTAATCCACCAATACATTTTTCCGCGCTGATGGCTTCCAATAACGGGCAAACAGAATTATCAGAACCCTCGCGCCGGACTTAACGAGCACGCGTAACCGAGCCTCCAGCGCTCTCCGTATATTTTATACGGGAGAATGAAGGGGGGAGAAAACGGGGAAGGGGAGGGGGGGGGTGTTGTGGCGAACACATCTGGACCGCAGCAGGAGCAGTCTCTCTCCCCGGCACAGCGTCCTCCGAGGCGATAAAATATATATCCCCCACGAAAATCCCTTCTGGACGTTTCTCTATGCATTTGTCCGTAAATATTACATGGCGAACAGTCGGCCGCCTTCCCGCGGTGCGGCGGTGGTGAACGCCGACACATGACGCAGGGGCGGGGCGGGGCGGACAGAACGCCCGCCCGGGAACACCCCGACAACACGTCCCTGGCGGCGCATGGGACAAATGGATCGTCGGGAATTAAGAGGAACGAGCCGCAGGCCGCGAACCGACCCCGCCCCGCCGGGGCCGGTCAGTCCACAGGCGCGTGGCAGAGGCGAGGGCCGAGGTCTAGCCTGCGACTGATTCCGAAGAGCGCTCTCCTATACCTTCCGTATAGCTTCATCCTTGTCGCACTCATGGGGCAGCTCCCCCTGAGCGCTCTTCGGAATCAGTCTGCAGAGGCAGTGCGAGACACCCCCTCCCTACTCACGAGGCCCCGGGTCGCCCTCCCAGAACACTCCGGGGCCGGACAAATCACAGGTGGAGTAGTGCCGGCCAGACGTCCGCCCAGTCGGGGCGGGGCGGGGGCAGGGGAGGAGGACGAGCATGATGAGGACGACCCGGAGGGGATGGCGCGCTGCCTGGCCCTCCACTGCCGCCTCCCCGGCCCGGTGCGGTATCTGCTAGGAAATCCGATAAGAGCCATCAGACGCCGCCGCCGTCCATGAGCTGCCACCCTCTTCCCCACCCCACCCCCTCCCCCACAGCACGCACAGCACAGGCCCAGAGGCACGCGATGATAGCAGGACTCGACGGCCATAAGCCCTGCTCCGCGCGGTGGTGCTGGAGAAAGAACAAAACAATAACGCACTCGCCTACGATAACAAAAAGGGACGGCGACCGTCACTTTTGCACACGGTTATGACGCAGGTGCAGGGGCACGCCGCGTACGCGCGTTAGGGACTTGGGAAAAGAGAGGCGGGAGCGGCGCAACGTGGGCCAAAAAGGCTCAGGATGGTCATTGAAGTCCACAGGGACCCCGTGATATTTTTACCCCAGGAATAAACATGATATAGGGTCCTCATGGATGGGCTCTCATGATCGCCCTGGACCTTTCGGTATCCCACTTTTGGACCCCCTCCCCTCAAAGTCATGTGGTTTGTGCACGAAGAACGCGCGCCATTCCGGACTGTTCGGCGAAGAAAGAGTTCGTCGACAAATGTCAACATTTCCAGATTGTTGATCGAGGTCGACGAGCAAAAATCACCGGCGAGCAGTGGTGAGGTGGGCTCGGGTGGGCTCTGCTGGTCGGGTGGGTCCTCGCCAGCGGGACCGCGCCGAGGACCTCGCATACCCCCACGCCTCGCTCGTTGGCGACCCCGCATGCCGCCATACCTCACCATCCTCGGCCTTGCAGGGCTCCTCCCGCACACGAGAACTCGTCGTGCAGCAAATTGCGCCATTTGGAGGGGCGGGGGTGGGGTCCTTTTCTTACGGCACTTTCTCAGCATCAGAAGCACCTAAATGACCTAAATGGACATGTCTATGGGGCACCATGATTAACGCATCTTCACAGTTAACACGTTTCCAGCTGTGGTAACTTTATGCTAATGTTCAGCATTAACGCCATGTCTTCACCGCGCCCCAGACTCAAAAAAAGGAAAAAAAGAACCGGGTCTTCCTATGAAATAAATTACAATTTTCAGATGGCCCGCACCTCTACCACGCCATCATCGTGGACCTCGCAGACACCCATCCTACCTCGGCACAGTCGGCGCCCCCACCCCCACCCCCACCACGCCAGGCCGTAAAGTCGCCTCCAAAGCATCCCGGGTGCGGCCAAGGCGCGGCGGCATAGCTCCACGAGCCACTTCCCTTCAATGAATCGGATGAATGGGGGCGGCGGCAGCAACTGAGAGGGGAGGGAGGGAGGGAGGGAGGGGATGCTATTTGGTTGAGGAGCGCGCGCACGCACATCGACCGTCCCGCCGCCGTGCAGCATGACCGCGCCGACCCGCGCCGACCCGCCCGGGCTCGGAATGCCATTTGCCGCCCCAAAACAATTTGCAATTTCAGCCCGTGCGCCAGCAGAGAGAGCAGCCCGGCCCTGGCCCGGCCGCAGATTGTCGCCGTCAGTCGACGCGCACGACGACGCCCGCGGCGGCGTTCGATACCTCGCCGTCGGGCACGTGCTGATGACGGGAAGCGACCCCCCGACCCCCCCCCCCCCCCCCCCCCCCCCCCCCCCCCCCCCCGGGGGGGGCGGGGGCGGGGGGGGGGGGGGGGGGGGGGGGAGAGAGAAGTCCTGACGCAACCTCCCCTCTCCTTTCCCTTCCAGATGAGATGCACTCGCCTCATAAATAACGCCGCCAGACACCTCAAGCCCAGTGCTAGAGCAGTGCGCCTCGCGGGGGTGGCGCCTCGCGCCTCGCTCCGTGCCCTGTGCGCAGGGCCCCGCCAAGCGCGCTCCCGGACGTCAATCTGGCACCGGCCGGCCCTGCCCGGCCAAACCAAGAGTAATGACATCCTCGAGAGCGAGAGACAAGCGGGACGAGGAAATAACGACAAAATAAGGCGCGGGGGCGAGAGAGACCGCGCCGGCTTCAAATCCCCCGCACTAAATTCTCTCCAAGGCGAGCCCGCCAGGGTTCCGGAAGTGCTCGGGCGGCGCGCACCTATGGGCCGGCCGGCGGCCGTGCCTGCGGGCAGGATGGTGCACCTTGGGCGAAGATCACTCGGGCTATCTCTCGTGGTGGCATTCCAGAGCCGTGTCAGACATTTCGCGGCCGTTATCTCGAAGAATATTTCGCGACAATTCACATTTAATTTCGCACGATTTCGCAGGCGGGAGTACGATCTATTCCGCAAGCGAATTCTCCCTCGGGGTATGCACTCGCAGGGTTCCCACAATGACGATCCCAATCGTAAATTAAGAATATTGTTTGCGAATCGTACATTCTTAAACGCATATTGTAGCACGGTGTACAAAAGCCGATGTTAAAACCCCTGAAGTTGAAGTGCAACGCAACGCAACACAACTGAACTGGGCCGAGGACCTTTGATTTTTCTCCCTTTTCATTTATTTGCGCAAAATGTGGCAACGCAGCACGGTCGGGAGGGCGGCGCCGAGAGGAGTGGCGCCACGCTGCGGGGGTGTTGCCGGGGCGGGACGGGCGGCGCCGGAGGGGCGAGGTGGGGCGGGGCGGAGGCTTAAGGGAGGAGGGGTGGGTCGCTAGGGGAGTGTTTGTTAAGGGAGGTTGGCCCACTGTGCAACCTGCGGCTGTGCACCGGCTAGGGAAGGCGAGAGCTGAGGCAGCAGCCTGCTAAGCGCCGCCTGTTAGCATCAGACCAAACAAAAATATTTGCCACTTGCATTTTCGATTTAAAATTAAACTTGCTACAAATTTTTGTGCAGCAATAGTACCGAGAACGAGATTCCTTTTCTCGAAATGTTACTCCTGGTGT